TTTGTAAGCATTTAACATTTATTTCATTTTCAGTTACAAAATTTGTTAATGTTGACTAAATCTGTTCTACTAACCGAAAGATCTTAGAAAATTGCTTTTGCTACCATAAAGTAATTGAAAAAAAATAAATTATTCATGCTTTGGAGCTTTAGGATTTATTAATTGGTTGTATATTGCTTTATAATCAGTGCTTGAAATCAGGGTTGTTGATTTTTTTTTCTTCAGTTTTTACTGGTGAGAGACAACCTTTTTAGAACCAACGACGTTGCGTTACTGTTTGACGCGGTATCTAGACCTGCAAATGGTTCCACGCCGTTCTTTCTTTAAAAAACTGGCAAAACTTTCTTCAAATTTAATGGAAAGAGAAAAGCTGGAAGAATTGGGATCTCCTGAAGGAATTGTGAGACTTTCACGTCGAACATGATACGAATATAAAAGTTACCTAGTCGTTTTGATAGTGGATTTTCAGCAGTTATTTTTTTTAAAATTTATACTTTTTTGACTGTAGGACGCTTATTTCGACTACTGTGTAAGACCAAGACGAACAGCCGCCGAATGCTTGCGTGATTTTGGTGATACAGCAAAAAATCTTGCGCCGGAATCGTTGTTTGACATCCTACCTCCGATAAAACCAAGAGCATATAGCATAGCGTCATGTCCAGGAAAACATCCGTATATTGAAATACTAGCTGCGAAGGTTAGCCACATTTCTGAAGTTTTTCGAGAAATCATTTATCTTTTATAATATAGAGGATTTAGACTTGAAGATATAGCACCGTTTTTTAAAATAAGTTGTTTTTGTAAAAAACTGTCTTTGGGGGGTCGTTACTAATTTTCCTAAAATAAAAATCTGCTGTCTTTCTATGAAAATTTTTTCAATATTCTTTTCATTAAGTTAGGGTGTCGTGACATTCTAGCGTAATTTCTCAAAAACTTGGTTCTTTTTCAACTGTCTATCCTCAATCTTTAAATTTGGAATCTTTACTTAGCTGTATTATCTATGAGAGTTACTTATCTTTTTCACCGCCCCTTAACTTTTGAAAAACCTAATGCCAGAGTTTCGCTTGAACCATTGCGCCGTTTCTCAAAATTACTCTCCTGGTGGAGCTTCCTGTGGTGAATGGAAGTACATTTGGTGATGCAATTTTAGAAGTTTAGGAGGTTCATATCTACCTAAACGCAGATTTACTGCTGGCGATGTTCTTGTTCCTGCGCCACGTTCCAGTCGGCTCAAAAATCACTGATTAAGCATAGGTTTTTAATCATGCGTATTGGAGTCATTGAATCACTGCTCAAGGTAACCAAAGAAGTTGTCAAGGAAAGAACCACAGAATATTTATATGTGCCAAAAAAATTGTTCATTCTATTTCTGGAACTATTTAATAGTTGTGGAACTGCGTTTGACATATTTTTAACCATTTTTAATTTGGCTTTTGTTTTCCATTTCTTTTGCTAAGTCGATCCAACTAATGACTGCTTCATTAAAAGTACCACTAGCGAGAGAATAAAGCGGAGTTTGAGTAGAAATGAACGCAACACTGCAGTGATGGAGTGTTCACTGAGTGATTCAAAAATTCTTGTGGTAATAATGTTGATAGGCTTGCAGAAAGCTATAAAGAATTAGAGGGGAAGAATTAAATTGCCATAGATGGGTAGAGCTTTTCAGAAGACTCTAGTTACACTAAATGAGGGTGGGAAGATGAGGATAAGAACTAATTTCAAGCTTAGAAACTTATATGTTGCCTTTTCTTGTCTTCGCCGTCTCTTGCCTGTAGCGACTGGAGAAGTTGTAAACTTATAAGGGGTAAGACTTAACAAAGGTAATTGAAGTTTTTAAATTGCTTCACTCCTCGGCGAGGAATTTATAAGAAGAAAAGCGTTACAGGCTGTATGTTTTCGTGTCAGTTGAAACGTTGCAGAGATAATTACACATAAGTACATAATTGCTTTAGTCTGGCTAGTTATTCAAATGATTTCAAATCCATCGTTTAATGAATAGATTGTAAGAAAGGTTTCATGGTGCATAGCAGAAGAATGTCGCTTTTTGTTCTGATAACCAGAACAAGTTTTTTTCAAAGGTCCAGATTTTAAACTATCATAGGTATGGTTCAGACTTTCATCTTTGCTCAGAATTTGCGTAATTTGGAGATGTTAGCGGAAGTTACATAGACTAAAAAGGCATATTTTTTAAATTAACATAAGCAAGTGGAGCAGGCGGGGTAACGTGAAACAGGATGCAGATTTTTATTGAAGGGTAAAGCGAACAAAAGGCTTCCAGGTGATGTATTTTTCTTCGGAAAAAAGCATTTGCTCTTCAACATTGTGTAGGATAATGTGAAAGCAGTTACAAATTGCCCTATCATCCCCAAAAATTTTGGCAGCGAAGTTCTGCAACTTACCTGTTGATAAACCTGGATCTTGGTCGCTATATACTGCCCTTCGCATGGATAAGAACCAGAACTATCATTATAAATTTTCAGTGTTTTGGTGCTGCATATCAGCAACATTACTGGTTTAGATAGAGGAACTCATATCATCTCTTGTTACTCCTCACATCACTTATTCGTTTTTTATTTCATTGTTGATACTCTTTTCGAGGATTTTTCCCCGTTCAAGGCTACTAACACTTTCTTTAAAAGAGATTAATTAGATATCATTTTTTCCAGGTGGAATACAAAGCAAAGAGAATGAAAGACTTACGGAGAGGTCTGTGCAGTAATTTTCTCTCGCATTTGCATCCTGGTGATACAGTTCTTGCAAAAGTAAAGGCAGGAACTTTCAGGTTGA